CGCTTCGTCCTGTTAGAACGCTATGCAGCGATTTTCAAGCGGCTGGGAGCTTAGGAAAGTGGTTTTTCTAACAAACTCATATAATCATGTGCGTGACATCTTCCAAAATGATATCACAGACATAATATTATACTAGGACATGTATCTGACCTCAAATGATACGAAATATAATTGTTTACATTAAAATGTACAAGTTCCCAATGAAATATGGTAATGTGAAAAAAAGTGACATTTGAAGTGCAGATAGTCTCTTTTTCAAAACTGCTCTAACAAGTTTGTTTACATTTGTGCAGTGTGCCCATGTACACTAGTGTTGCGCTCCGTCCTGTTAGAACGCTATACAGCGATTTTCAAGCGGCTGGGAGCTTAGGAAAGTGGTTTTTCTAACAAACTCATATAATCATGTGCGGGACACCTTCCAAAAATGATATCACAGACATAATATTATACTAGGACATGTATCTGACCTCAAATGATACGAAATATAATTGTTTACATTAAAATGTACAAGTTACCAATGAAGTATGGTAATGTGAAAAAAGTGACATTTGAAGTGCAGACAGTCACTTTTTTCCAAAACTGCTCTAACTATGTTTGTTTACATTTCTGCTGTGTGCCCATGTACAGTGTTGCGCTTCGGTCCTGTTAGAACGCTTATACAGCGATTTTTCAACGGCTGGGAGCTTAGGAAAGTGGTTTTTCTAACAAACTCATATAATCATGTATGCGTGACATCTTCCAAAATGATATCACAGACATAATATTATACTAGGACATGTATCTGACCTCAAATGATACAAATATAATTGTTTACATTAAAATGTACAAGTTACCAATGAAGTATGGTAATGTGAAAAAAGTGACATTTGAAGTGCAGACAGTCACTTTTTTCAAAACTGCTCTAACTAAGTTTGTTTACATTTGTGCAGTGTGCCCATGTACACTGTTGCGCTCCGGTCCTGTTAGAACGCTATACAGCGATTTTCAAGCTGGCTGGGAGCTTAGGAAAGTGGTTTTTCTAACAAACTCATATAATCATGTGCGTGACATCTTCCAAAATGATATCACAGACATAATATTATTATTATACACACATGTATCTGACCTCAAATGCGAAATATAATTGTTTACATTAAAATGTACAAGTTCCCAATGAAATATGGTAATGTGAAAAAGTGAATTTAAAAGAAAGTGCAGACAGTCACTTTTTTCAAAACTACTCTATCTAAGTTTGTTTACATTTGTGCAGTTGCTGCGCCCATGTACAGTGTTGCGCCTCGTCCTGTTAGAACGCTATACAGCGATTTTCAAGCGGCTGGGAGCTTAGGAAAGTGGTTTTTCTAACAAACTTATAATCATGTGCGTGACATCTTCCAAAAATATCACAGACATAATATTATACTAGGACATGTATCTGACCTCAAATGATACGAAATATAATTGTTTACATTAAAATGTACAAGTTCCCAATGAAATATGGTAATGTGAAAAAGTGAGCGACATTTGAAGTGCAGACAGTCCTTTTTTCAAAACTGCTCTAACTAAGTTTGTTTACATTTGTGCAGTGTGCCCATGTACACTGTTGCGCCTCGTCCTGTTAGAACGCAAACAGCGCGATTTTCAAGCGGCTGGGAGCTTAGGAAAGTAGTTTTTCTAACAAACTCATATAATCGTGCGTGACATCTTCCAAAATGATATCACAGACATAATATTATACTAGGACATGTATCTGACCTCAAATGATACGAAATATAATTGTTTACATTAAAATGTACAAGTTCCCAATGAAATATGGTAATGTGAAAAAGTGACATTTGAAGTGCAGACAGTCACTTTGTTTCAAAACTGCTCTAAGTAAGTTTGTTTACATTTGTGCAGTGTGCCCGTATACACTGTGCGTCCTGGTTGGAACGCGTTACAGCGATTTTCAAGCGGCTGGGAGCTTAGGAAAGTGGTTTTTCTAACAAACTCATATAATCATGTGGTGACATCTTCCAAAATGATATCACAGACATAATACTATACTAGGACATGTATCTGACCTCAAATGATACGAAATATAATTGTTTACATTAAAATGTACAAGTTCCCAATGAAGTATGGTAATGTGAACAAAGTGACATTTGAAGTGCAGACAGTCACTTTTTTCAAAACTGCTCTAACTAAGTTTGTTTACATTTGTGCAGTGTGCCCGTGTACACTGTTGCGCTCGTCCTGTTAGAAAGCTATGCAGCGATTTTCAAGCGGCTGGGAGCTTAGGAAAGTGGTGTTTCTAACAAACTCATATAATCAAGTGTGTGACATCTTCCAAAATGATATCACAGACATAATATTATACTAAGACATGTATCTGACCTCAAATGATACGAAATATAATTGTTTACATTAAAATGTACAAGTTCCCAATGAAATATGGTAATGTGTGAAAAAAGTGACATTTGAAGTGCAGACAGTCACTTTTTTCAAAACTGCTCTAACTAAGTTTGTTTACATTTGTGCGGTGTGCCCATGTACAGTGTTGCGCTTCGTTCTGTTAGAACGCTATACAGCGATTTTCAAGCGGCTGGGAGCTTAGGAAAGTGGTTTTTCTAACAAACTCGTATAATCATGTGCGTGACATCTTCTAAAATGATATCACAGACATAATATTATACTAGGACATGTATCTGACCTCAAATGATACGAAATATAATTGTTTACATTAAAATGTACAAGTTCCCAATGAAATATGGTAATGTGAAAAAAGTGACATTTGAAGTGCACACAGTCACTTTTTTCAAAACTGCTCTAACTAAGTTTGTTTACATTTGGGGGGTGTGCGTTGCATGTACAGTGCTGCGTCCTGTTTGTTAGAACGCTATACAGCGATTTTCAAGCGGCTGGGAGCTTAGGAAAGTGGTTTTTCTAACAAACTCATATAATCATGTGCGTGACATCTTCCAAAATGATATCACAGACATAATACTATACTAGGACATGTATCTGACCTCAAATGATACGAAATATAATTGTTTACATTAAAATGTACAAGTTTCCAATGAAATATAGTAATTGTGAAAAAAAGTGACATTTGAAGTGCACACAGTCACTTTTTTCAAAACTGCTCTAACTAAGTTTGTTTACATTTGTGCAGTGTGCCCATGTACAGTGTTGCGCGCTCGTCCTTGTTAGAACGCTATACAGCGATTTTCAAGCGGCTGGGAGCTTAGGAAAGTGGTTTTTCTAACAAACTCATATAATCATGTGTGTGACATCTTCTAAAATGATATCACAGACATAATATTATACTAGACATGTATCTGACCTCAAATGATACGAAATATAATTGTTTACATTAAAATGTACAAGTTCCCAATGAAATATGGTAATGTGAAAAAAAGTGACATTTGAAGTGCAGACAGTCACTTTTTTCAAAACTGCTCTAACTAAGTTTGTTTACATTTGTGCAGTGTGCCCCAATACACGTACACTGTTGCTGCGTCGTCCTGTTAGAACGCTATACAGCGTTTTTCAAGCGGCTGGGAGCTTAGGAAAGTGGTTTTTCTAACAAACTCATATAATCATGTGCGGACATCTTCCAAAATGATATCACAGCCATAATATTGTACTAGGACATGTATCTGACCTCAAATGATACGAAATATAATTGTTTACATTAAAATGTAGAAGTTCCCAATGAAATATGGTAATGTGAAAAAAGTGACATTTGAAGTGCAGACAGTCACTTTTTTTTTAAAAGTGCTCTAACTAAGTTTGTTTACATTCGTCCAGTGTTTTGTTTTCAGTTGAATTTATACGTAGAATTTGCTCTGGCTGGAGCTGCTGATCCCGATCCAGACTGACTGAGGTCTGGATGCTGTGGTGAACCTTTCACTGAAGACCATTTGAACACACAAGTCCATTTTGTCCTTGGCCAGATGGAGTGTGGTGGCGATTGTGGCTTCTGTTGAGCTCTTGGAATTTGGATACAGATTTTTTTTTTCTGATTATATGCCGTCATTATATGTTCTATACATTCTGGTTAAACACATGCTTTTTTTTTATTTCTCTTAAAAATCATTTTTTCAGCCTTCTTAGTGCAGTAGGTAGCGTGTTAGTCTCATAATCTGAAGGTTGTGAGTTCAATCCTCACACCGTGCATGGGTTTTGTTTTCAGATTACGTAGAATTTGCTCTGGCTGGAGGTGCTGGAGGTGCTGCTCCTGATCCAGACTTACTGAGGTCTCCTAGTCAGGATGTCTAGCGTCCAGTTTCAGAGGGCTGTCTACAGGCTCTGAATGGGTCACCGTTTCAATCAGGTGTTGAGGAATGATTGTGTTGTGTTCTGTGGTGAACTTTTCACTGAAGACCATTTGAACGCACGTGTCCATTTTGTCCTTGGCCGGATGGAAGGTGGTGGCGATTGGGTTATCTGTTGAGCTCGTGGAACTTGGATACAGATTTTTGTACTGATTATATCCCGTCATTATATGTTCTATACATTCTGGTTACACACATGCTTTTTTTTTATTTCTCTTAGAGGTCATGTTTTCAGCCTTGTTAGCGCAGTAGGTAGCGTGTCAGTCTCATAATCTGAAGGTCGTGAGTTCAATCCTCACACAGGGCATGGGTTTTGTTTTCAGACTAAGTAGGATATACTCTGGCTGGAGCTGCTGGAGGTGCTGCTCCTGATCCAGACTGAGTGAGGTCTCCTAGTCAGGAAGTCTAGCGTCCAGTTTCAGAGGGATGTCTACAGGCTCTGACTGGGTGCCCCTTTCAATCAGGTGCTAAGGAATGATTGTGTTGAATGCTGTGGTGAACTTTTCACTGCAGACCATTTGAACGCACGTGTCCATTTTGTCCTTGGCCAGATGGAGGGTGGTGGCGATTGGGTTATCTGTTGAGCTTCGTGGAACTTGGATACAGATTTTTGTACTGATTATATCCCATCATTATATGTTTTATACGTTATGGTCCCCACACACATGCTTTTTTTTTTCTCTCTTAGAGGTCGCTTCTCAGCCTGTGCTGGCGCAGTAGGTAGGGCGTCAATCTCATAATCTGAAGGTTGTGAGTTCAATCCTCCGCACAGGTGCTTTGTTTTCTTTTAGATTAAGTAGGATATGCTCTGGCTGGAGCTGCTGGAGGTGCTGCTCCTGATCCAGACTGAGTGAGGTCTCCTAGTCAGGAAGTCTAGCGTCCAGTTTCAGAGGGATGTCTACAGGCTCTGACTGGGTCACCTTTTCAATCAGGTGCTGAGGAATGATTGTGTTGAATGCTGTGGTGAACTTTTCACTGAAGATCATTTGAACACACAAGTCCTTCTTGCTCATGGCCAGTTGGAGTGTGGTGGCGATTGGGTTATCTGTTGAGCTCCTGGAACTTGGATACAGATTTTTGTACTGATTATATCCCGTCATTATATGTTTTATACGTTCTGGTTACACACATGCTTTTGTTTTGTTTCTCTTTAGGTGGTGTTTTCAGCCTTGTTAGCGCAGTAGGTAGCGCGTCAATCTCATAATCTGAAGGTTGTGAGTTCAATCCTCACACAGGGCATGGGTTTTGTTTTCAGATTAAGTAGGATATGCTCTGGCTGGAGCTGCTGGAGGTGCTACTCCTGATCCAGACTGAGTGAGGTCTCCTAGTCAGGAAGTCTAGCGTCCAGTTTCAGAGGGATGTCTACAGGCTCTGACTGGGTCACCTTTTCAATCACGTGCTAAGGAATGATTGTGTTGAATGCTGTGGTGAACTTTTCACTGAAGACCATTTGAACGCACGTGTCCATTTTGTCCTTGGCCAGATGGAGGGTGGTGGCGATTGGGTTATCTGCTGAGCTCGTGGAACTTGGATACAGATTTTTGTACTGATTATATCCCATCATTTTATGTTCAATACATTCTGGTTACACACATGCTTTTTTTTTATTTCTCTTAAAAATCATTTTTTCAGCGTTCTTAGTGCAGTAGGTAGCGTGTTAGTCTCATAATCTGAAGGTCGTGAGTTCAATCCTCACACAGGGCATGGGTTTTGTTTTCAGATTACATAGAATTTGCTCTGGCTGGAGGTGCTGCTCCTGATCCAGACTGAGTGAGGTCTCCTAGTCAGGAAGTCTAGCGTTCAGTTTCATAGGGATGTCTACAAGCTCTGACTGGTTCGCCTTTTCAATCAGGTGCTGAGGAATGATTGTGTTGAATGCTGTGGTGAACCTTTCACTGAAGACCATTTGAACACACAAGTCCATTTTGTCCTTGGCCAGATGGAGTGTGGTGGCGATTGTGGCTTCTGTTGAGCTCTTGGAATTTGGATACAGATTTTTTTTTTCTGATTATATGCCGTCATTATATGTTCTATACATTCTGGTTAAACACATGCTTTTTTTTTCTTTCTCTTAGAGGTCATGTTTTCAGCCTTGGTAGCGCAGTAGGTAGCGTGTCAGTCTCATAATCTGAAGGTCGTGAGTTCAATCCTCACACTGCGCATGGGTTTTGTTTTCAGATTACGTAGAATTTGCTCTGGCTGGAGGTGCTGCTCCTGATCCAGACTTTCTGAGGTCTCCTAGTCAGGATGTCTAGCGTCCAGTTTCAGAGGGCTGTCTACAGGCTCTGAATGGGTCACCGTTTCAATCAGGTGTTGAGGAATGATTGTGTTGTATTCTGTGGTGAACTTTTCACTGAAGACCATTTGAACGCACGTGTCCATTTTGTCCTTGGCCAGATGGAGGGTGGTGGCGATTGGGTTATCTGTTGAGCTCGTGGAACTTGGATACAGATTTTTGTACTGATTATATCCCGTCATTATATGTTCTATACATTCTGGTTACACACATGCTTTTTTTTATTTCTCTTAGAGGTCATGTTTTCAGCCTTGTTAGCGCAGTAGGTAGCGTGTCAGTCTCATAATCTGAAGGTTGTGAGTTCAATCCTCACACAGGGCATGGGTTTTGTTTTCAGACTAAGTAGGATATGCTCTGGCTGGAGCTGCTGGAGGTGCTGCTCCTGATCCAGACTGAGTGAGGTCTCCTGTCAGGAAGTCTAGCGTCCAGTTTCAGAGGGATGTCTACAGGCTCTGACTGGGTGCCCCTTTCAATCAGGTGCTAAGGAATGATTGTGTTGAATGCTGTAGTGAACTTTTCACTGAAGACCATTTGAACGCACGCGTGTCCATTTTGTCCTTGGCCAGATGGAGGGTGGCGGCGGTGGCGTTTGGGTTATCTGTTGAGCTCGTGGAACTTGGATACAGATTTTTGTACTGATTATATCCCATCATTATATGTTTTATACGTTCTGGTTACACACATGCTTTTTTTTTCTCTTAGATGTCATGTTCTCAGCCATGTTAGCGCAGTAGGTAGCGTGTCAGTCTCATAATCTGAAGGTCGGTGAGTTCAATCCTCACACAGGGGCATGGGTTTTGTTTTCAGATTACGTAGAATTTGCTCTGGCTGGAGCTGCTGATCCCGATCCAGACTGACTGAGGTCTCCTAGTCAGGAAGTCTAGCTCCAGTTTCAGAGGGATGTCTACAGGCTGTCTGACTGGGTCACCTTTTCAATCAGGTGCTAAGGAATGATTGTGTTGAATGCTGTGGTGAACTTTTCACTGAAGACCATTTGAACCACGTGCGTGTCCATTTTGTCCTTGGCCAGACGGAGGGTGGTGGCGATTGTGGCTTCTGTTGAGCTCGTGGAACTTGGATACAGATTTTTGTACTGATTATATCCCGTCATTATATGTTCTATACATTCTGGTTACACACATGCTTTTTTTTATTTCTCTTAGAGGTCATGCTTTCAGCCTTGTTAGTGCAGTAGGTACCTGGAAAGTCTCATAATCTGAAGGTCGTGAGCTCAATCCTCACACAGGGCATGGCTTTTGTTTTCAGATTTGCTAGAATTTGCTCGGGCTGGAGGTGCTGCTCCTGATCCAGACTGAGTGAGGTCTCCTTAGTCAGGAAGTCTAGCGCGCCAGTTTCAGAGGGATGTCTACAGGCTCTGACTGGTTCGCCTTTTCAATCAGGTGCTAAGGAATGATTGTGTTGAATGCTGTGGTGAACTTTTCACTGAAGACCATTTGAACGCACGTGTCCATTTTGTCCTTGGCCAGATGGAGGGTGGTGGCGGTTGGGTTATCTGTTGAGCTCTCGGAACTTGGATACAGATTTTTGTACTGATTATATATCCCGTCATTTTATGTTCTATACATTCTGGTTACACACATGCTTTTTTTTTTAAAATTTCTCTTAGAGATCATGTTTTCAGCCTTGTTAGCGCAGTAGGTGGCATGTCAGTCTCATAATCTGAAGGTCTTGAGTTCAATCCTCACACAGACCATGGGTTCTGTTTTCAGATTACGTAGAATTTGCTCTGGCTGGAGCTGCTGGAGGTGCTGATCCTGATCCAGACTGAGTGAGGTCTCCTTGTCTGGAAGTCTAGCGTCCATTTTCAGAGGGTTGTCTACAGGCTCTGACTGGGTCACCTTTTCAATCAGGTGCTGAGGAATGATTGTGTTGAATGCTGTGGTGAACTTTTCACTGAAGATCATTTGAACACACAAGTCCTTCTTGCTTACGGCCAGTTGGAGTGTGGTGGCGATTGGGTTATCTGTTGAGCTCCTGGAACATGGATACAGATTTTGTTACTGATTATATCCCGTCATTATATGTTTTATACGTTCTGGTTACACACATGCTTTTGTTTGGTTTCTCTTGGAGGTGGTGTTTTCAGCCTTGTTAGCGCAGTAGGTAGCGCGTCAATCTCATAATCTGAAGGTCGTGAGTTCAATCCTCACACAGGGCATGGGTTTTGTTTTCAGATTACGTAGAATTTGCTCTGGCTGGAGCTGCTGATCCCGATCCAGACTGAGTGAGGTCTCCTAGTCAGGAAGTCTAGCGTCCAGTTTCAGAGGGATGTCTACAGGCTCTGACTGGGTCACCTTTTCAATCAGGTGCTAAGGAATGATTGTGTTGAATGCTGTGGTGAACTTTTCACTGAAGACCATTTGAACGCACGTGTCCATTTTGTCCTTGGCCAGATGGAGGGTGGTGGCGATTGGGTTATCTGTTGAGCTCGTGGAACTTGGATACAGATTTTTGTACTGATTATATCCCGTCATTATATGTTCTATACATTCTGGTTACACACATGCTTTTTTTTTATTTCTCTTAGAGGTCATGTTTTCAGCCTTGTTAGCGCAGTAGGTAGCGTGTCAGTCTCATAATCTGAAGGTTGTGAGTTCAATCCTCACACAGGGCATGGGTTTTGTTTTCAGACTTAGTAGGATATGCTCTGGCTGGAGCTGCTGGAGGTGCTGCTCCTGATCCAGACTGAGTGAGGTCTCCTAGTCAGGAAGTCTAGCGTCCAGTTTCAGAGGGATGTCTACAGGCTCTGACTGGGTGCCCCTTTCAATCAGGTGCTAAGGAATGATTGTGTTGAATGCTGTAGTGAACTTTTCACTGAAGACCATTTGAACGACGTGTCCATTTTGTCCTTGGCCAGATGGAGGGTGGTGGCGATTGGGTTATCTGTTGAGCTCGTGGAACTTGGATACAGATTTTTGTACTGATTATATCCCATCATTATATGTTTTATACGTTCTGGTTACACACATGCTTTTTTTTTTTTTCTTAGAGGTCATGTTCTCAGCCATGTTAGCGCAGTAGGTAGCGTGTCAGTCTCATAATCTGAAGGTCGTGAGTTCAATCCTCACACAGGGCATGGGTTTTGTTTTCAGATTACGTGAATTTGCTCTGGCTGGAGCTGCTGATCCCGATCCAGACTGACTGAGGTCTCCTAGTCAGGAAGTCTAGCGTCCAGTTTCAGAGGGATGTCTACAGGCTCTGACTGGGTCACCTTTTCAATCAGGTGCTAAGGAATGATTGTGTTGAATGCTGTGGTGAACTTTTCACTGAAGACCATTTGAACGCACGTGTCCATTTTGTCCTTGGCCAGACGGAGGGTGGTGGCGATTGTGGCTTCTGTTGAGCTCGTGGAACTTGGATACAGATTTTTGTACTGATTATATCCCGTCATTATATGTTCTATACATTCTGGTTACACACATGCTTTTTTTTTCTTTCTCTTAGAGGTCATGCTTTCAGCCTTGTTAGTGCAGTAGGTAGCGTGAAAGTCTCATAATCTGAAGGTCGTGAGCTCAATCCTCACACAGGGCATGGGTTTTGTTTTCAGATTTCGTAGAATTTGCTCGGGGCTGGAGGTGCTGCTCCTGATCCAGACTGAGTGAGGTCTCTCTTAGTCAGGAAGTCTAGCGTCCAGTTTCAGAGGGATGTCTACAGGCTCTGACTGGTTCGCCTTTTCAATCAGGTGCTAAGGAATGATTGTGTTGAATGCTGTGGTGAACTTTTCACTGAAGACCATTTGAACGCACGCGTGTCCATTTTGTCCTTGGCCAGATGGAGGGTGGTGGCGATGGGTTATCTGTTGAGCTCGTGGAACTTGGATACAGATTTTTGTACTGATTATATCCCGTCATTTTATGTTCTATACATTCTGGTTACACACATGCTTTTTTTTAAAATTTCTCTTAGAGATCATGTATTCAGCCTTGTTAGCGCAGTGGGGCATGTCAGTCTCATAATCTGAAGGTCGTGAGTTCAATCCTCACACAGACCATGGGTTCTGTTTTCAGATTACGTAGAATTTGCTCTGGCTGGAGCTGCTGGAGGTGCTGATCCTGATCCAGACTGAGTGAGGTCTCCTTGTCAGGAAGTCTAGCGTCCATTTTCAGAGGGTTGTCTACAGGCTCTGACTGGGTCACCTTTTCAATCAGGTGCTGAGGAATGATTGTGTTGAATGCTGTGGTGAACTTTTCACTGAAGATCATTTGAACACACAAGTCCTTCTTGCTCATGGCCAGTTGGAGTGTGGTGGCGATTGGGTTATCTGTTGAGCTCCTGGAACATGGATACAGATTTTTGTACTGATTATATCCCGTCATTATATGTTTTATACGTTCTGGTTACACACATGCTTTTGTTTGGTTTCTCTTGGAGGTGGTGTTTTCAGCCTTGTTAGCCGCAGGTAGCGCGTCAATCTCATAATCTGAAGGTCGTGAGTTCAATCCTCACACAGGGCATGGGTTTTGTTTTCAGATTACGTAGAATTTGCTCTGGCTGGAGCTGCTGATCCCGATCCAGACTGACTGAGGTCTCCTAGTCAGGAAGTCTAGCGTCCAGTTTCAGAGGGATGTCTACAGGCTCTGACTGGGTCACCTTTTCAATCAGGTGCTAAGGAATGATTGTGTTGAATGCTGTGGTGAACTTTTCACTGAAGACCATTTGAACGCGCGTGTCCATTTTGTCCTTGGCCAGATGGAGGGTGGTGGCGATTGTGGCTTCTGTTGAGCTCGTGGAACTTGGATACAGATTTTTGTACTGATTATATTCCGTCATTATATGTTCTATACATTCTGGTTACACACATGCTTTTTTTTTCTTTCTCTTAGAGGTCATGCTTTCAGCCTTGTTAGTGCAGTAGGTAGCGTGAAAGTCTCATAATCTGAAGGTCGTGAGTTCAATCCTCACACAGGGCATGGGTTTTGTTTTCAGATTTCGTAGAATTTGCTCGGGCTGGAGGTGCTGCTCCTGATCCAGACTGAGTGAGGTCTCCTAGTCAGGAAGTCTAGCGTCCAGTTTCAGAGGGATGTCTACAGGCTCTGACTGGTTCGCCTTTTCAATCAGGTGCTAAGGAATGATTGTGTTGAATGCTGTGGTGAACTTTTCACTGAAGACCATTTGAACGCACGTGTCCATTTTGTCCTTGGCCAGATGGAGGGTGGTGGCGATTGGGTTATCTGTTGAGCTCGTGGAACTTGGATACAGATTTTTGTACTGATTATATTCCGTCATTTTATGTTCTATACATTCTGGTTACACACATGCTTTTTTTAAATTTCTCTTAGAGATCATGTTTTCAGCCTTGTTAGCGCAGTAGGTAGTGCGTCAATCTCATAATCTGAAGGTCGTGAGTTCAATCCTCACACAGAGCATGGGTTCTGTTTTCAGATTACGTAGAATTTGCTCTGGCTGGAGCTGCTGGAGGTGCTGCTCCTGATCCAGACTGAGTGAGGTCTCCTAGTCAGGAAGTCTAGCGTCCAGTTTCAGAGGGATGTCTACAGGCTCTGACTGGGTCACCTTTTCAATCAGGTGCTAAGGAATGATTGTGTTGAATGCTGTGGTGAACTTTTCACTGAAGACCATTTGAACGCACGTGTCCATTTTGTCCTTGGCCAGATGGAGGGTGGGGCGGATTGGGTTATCTGCTGAGCTCGTGGAACTTGGATACAGATTTTTGTACTGATTATATCCCGTCATTTTATGTTCTATACATTCTGGTTACACACATGCTTTTTTTTTATTTCTCTTAAAAATCATTTTTTTCAGCCTTCTTAGTGCAGTAGGTAGCGTGTTAGTCTCATAATCTGAAGGTCATGAGTTCAATCCTCATCACAGGGCATGGGTTTTGTTTTCAGATTAAGTAGGATATGCTCTGGCTGGAGCTGCTGGAGGTGCTGCTCCTGATCCAGACTGAGTGAGGTCTCCTAGTCAGGAAGTCTAGCGTCCAGTTTCAGAGGGATGTCTACAAGCTCTGACTGGTTCGCCTTTTCAATCAGGTGCTGAGGAATGATTGTGTTGAATGCTGTGGTGAACTTTTCACTGAAGATCATTTGAACACACAAGTCCTTCTTGCTCATGGTCAGTTGGAGTGTGGTGGCGATTGGGTTATCTGTTGAGCTCGTGGAACTTGGATACAGATTTTTGTACTGATTATATCCCGTCATTATATGTTTTATACGTTCTGGTTACAAACATGCTTTTTTTTTGTTTCTCTTGGAGGTCATGCTTTCAGCCTTGTTAGTGCAGTAGGTAGCGTGAAGTCTCATAATCTGAAGGTCGTGAGTTCAATCCTCACACAGGGCATGGGTTTTGTTTTCAGATTTCGTAGAATTTGCTCGGGCTGGAGGTGCTGCTCCTGATCCAGACTGAGTGAGGTCTCCTAGTCAGGAAGTCTAGCGTCCAGTCTCAGAGGGATGTCTACAGGCTCTGACTGGTTCGCCTTTTCAATCAGGTGCTAAGGAATGATTGTGTTGAATGCTGTGGTGAACTTTTCACTGAAGACCATTTGAACGCACGTGTCCATTTTGTCCTTGGCCAGATGGAGGGGTGGCGGTGGGTATTGGGTTACTATTGAGCTCGTGGAACTTGGATACAGATTTTTGTACTGATTATATTCCGTCATTTTATGTTCTATACATTCTGGTTACACACATGCTTTTTTTTAAATTTCTCTTAGAGATCATGTTTTCAGCCTTGTTAGCGCAGTAGGTAGCGCGTCAATCTCATAATCTGAAGGTCGTGAGTTCAATCCTCACACAGAGCATGGGTTCTGTTTTCAGATTACGGAATTTGCTTTGGCTGGAGCTGCTGGAGGTGCTGCTCCTGATCCAGACTGAGTGAGGTCTCTTAGTCAGGAAGTCTAGCGTCCAGTTTCAGAGGGATGTCTACAGGCTCTGACTGGGTCACCTTTTCAATCAGGTGCTAAGGAATGATTGTGTTGAATGCTGTGGTGAACTTTTCACTGAAGACCATTTGAACGCATGCGTGTCCATTTTGTCCTTGGCCAGATGGAGGGTGGTGGCGATTGGGTTATCTGCTGAGCTCGTGGAACTTGGATACAGATTTTTGTACTGATTATATCCCGTCATTTTATGTTCTATACATTCTGGTTACACACATGCTTTTTTTTATTTCTCTTAAAAATCATTTTTTCAGCCTTCTTAGTGCTTCTTAGTAGCGTGTTAGTCTCATAATCTGAAGGTCATGAGTTCAATCCTCACACAGGGCATGGGTTTTGTTTTCAGACTAAGTAGGATATGCTCTGGCTGGAGCTGCTGGAGGTGCGCTCCTGATCCAGACTGAGTGAGGTCTCCTAGTCAGGAAGTCTAGCGTCCAGTTTCAGAGGGATGTCTACAAGCTCTGACTGGTTCGCCTTTTCAATCAGGTGCTGAGGAATGATTGTGTTGAATGCTGTGGTGAACCTTTCACTGAAGATCATTTGAACACACAAGTCCTTCTTGCTCATGGTCAGTTGGAGTGTGGTGGCGATTGGGTTATCTGTTGAGCTCGTGGAACTTGGACACAGATTTTTGTACTGATTATATCCCGTCATTATATGTTCTATACATTCTGGTTACACACATGTTTTTTTTTATTTCTCTTAGAGGTCATGTTTTCAGCCTTGTTAGCGCAGTAGGTAGCGTGTCAGTCTCATAATCTGAAGGTTGTGAGTTCAATCCTCACACAGGGCATGGGTTTTGTTTTCAGACTTAGTAGGATATGCTCTGGCTGGAGCTGCTGGAGGTGCTGCTCCTGATCCAGACTGAGTGAGGTCTCCTAGTCAGGAAGTTTAGCGTCCAGTTTCAGAGGGATGTCTACAGGCTCTGACTGGGGGTGCCCCTTTCAATCAGGTGCTAAGGAATGATTGTGTTGAATGCTGTAGTGAACTTTTCACTGAAGACCATTTGAACGCACGTGTCCATTTTGTCCTTGGCCAGATGGAGGGTGGTGGCGATTGGGTTATCTGTTGAGCTCGTGGAACTTGGATACAGATTTTTGTACTGATTATATCCCATCATTATATGTTTTATACGTTCTGGTTACACACATGCTTTTTTTTTTCTCTTAGAGGTCATGTTCTCAGCCATGTTAGGCGCAGTGGTAGCGTGTCAGTCTCATAATCTGAAGGTCGTGAGTTCAATCCTCACACAGGGCATGGGTTTTGTTTTCAGATTACGTGAATTTGCTCTGGCTGGAGCTGCTGATCCCGATCCAGACTGACTGAGGTCTCCTAGTCAGGAAGTCTAGCGTCCAGTTTCAGAGGGATGTCTACAGGCTCTGACTGGGTCACCTTTTCAATCAGGTGCTAAGGAATGATTGTGTTGAATGCTGTGGTGAACTTTTCACTGAAGACCATTTGAACGCACGTGTCCATTTTGTCCTTGGCCAGACGGAGGGTGGTGGCGATTGTGGCTTCTGTTGAGCTCGTGGAACTTGGATACAGATTTTTGTACTGATTATATCCCGTCATTATATGTTCTATACATTCTGGTTACACACATGCTTTTTTTTTCTTTCTCTTAGAGGTCATGCTTTCAGCCTTGTTAGTGCAGTAGGTAGCGTGAAAGTCTTATAATCTGAAGGTCGTGAGCTCAATCCTCACACAGGGCATGGGTTTTGTTTTCAGATTTCGTAGAATTTGCTCTGGCTGGAGCTGCTGATCCCGATCCAGACTGACTGAGGTCTCCTAGTCAGGAAGTCTAGCGTCCAGTTTCAGAGGGATGTCTACAGGCTCTGACTGGGTCACCTTTTCAATCAGGTGCTAAGGAATGATTGTGTTGAATGCTGTGGTGAACTTTTCACTGAAGACCATTTGAACGTACGTGTCCATTTTGTCCTTGGCCAGACGGAGGGTGGTGGCGATTGTGGCTTCTGTTGAGCTCGTGGAACTTGGATACAGATTTTTGTACTGATTATATCCCGTCATTATATGTTCTATACATTCTGGTTACACACATGCTTTTTTTTTCTTTCTCTTAGAGGTCATGCTTTCAGCCTTGTTAGTGCAGTAGGTAGCGTGAAAGTCTCATAATCTGAAGGTCGTGAGCTCAATCCTCACACAGGGCATGGGTTTTGTTTTCAGATTTCGTAGAATTTGCTCGGGCTGGAGGTGCTGCTCCTGATCCAGACTGAGTGAGGTCTCCTAGTCAGGAAGTCTAGCGTCCAGTTTCAGAGGGATGTCTACAGGCTCTGACTGGTTCGCCTTTTCAATCAGGTGCTAAGGAATGATTGTGTTGAATGCTGTGGTGAACTTTTCACTGAAGACCATTTGAACGCACGTGTCCATTTTGTCCTTGGCCAGATGGAGGGTGGTGGCGATTGGGTTATCTGTTGAGCTCGTGGAACTTGGATACAGATTTTTGTACTGATTATATCCCGTCATTTTATGTTCTATACATTCTGGTTACACACATGCTTTTTTTTTAAAATTTCTCTTAGAGATCATGTTTTCAGCCTTGTTAGCGCAGTAGGTGGCATGTCAGTCTCATAATCTGAAGGTCGTGAGTTCAATCCTCACACAGACCATGGGTTCTGTTTTCAGATTACGTAGAATTTGCTCTGGCTGGAGCTGCTGGAGGTGCTGATCCTGATCCAGACTGAGTGAGGTCTCCTTGTCAGGAAGTCTAGCGTCCATTTTCAGAGGGTTGTCTACAGGCTCTGACTGGGTCACCTTTTCAATCAGGTGCTGAGGAATGATTGTGTTGAATGCTGTGGTGAACTTTTCACTGAAGATCATTTGAACACACAAGTCCTTCTTGCTCATGGCCAGTTGGAGTGTGGTGGCGATTGGGTTATCTGTTGAGCTCCTGGAACATGGATACAGATTTTTGTACTGATTATATCCGTCGTCATTATATGTTTTATACGTTTCTGGTTACACACATGCTTTTGTTTGGTTTCTCTTGGAGGTGGTGTTTTCAGCCTTGTTAGCGCAGTAGGTAGCGCGTCAATCTCATAATCTGAAGGTCGTGAGTTCAATCCTCACACAGGGCATGGGTTTTGTTTTCAGATTACGTAGAATTTGCTCTGGCTGGAGCTGCTGATCCCGATCCAGACTGACTGAGGTCTCCTAGTCAGGAAGTCTAGCGTCCAGTTTCAGAGGGATGTCTACAGGCTCTGACTGGGTCACCTTTTCAATCAGGTGCTAAGGAATGATTGTGTTGAATGCTGTGGTGAACTTTTCACTGAAGACCATTTGAACGCACGTGTCCATTTTGTCCTTGGCCAGATGGAGGGTGGTGGCGATTGTGGCTTCTGTTGAGCTCGTGGAACTTGGATACAGATTTTTGTACTGATTATATTCCGTCATTATATGTTCTATACATTCTGGTTACACACATGCTTTTTTTCTTTCTCTTAGAGGTCATGCTTTCAGCCTTGTTAGTGCAGTAGGTAGCGTGAAAGTCTCATAATCTGAAGGTCGTGAGTTCAATCCTCACAAAGGGCATGGGTTTTGTTTTCAGATTTCGTAGAATTTGCTCGGGCTGGAGGTGCTGCTCCTGATCCAGACTGAGTGAGGTCTCCTAGTCAGGAAGTCTAGCGTCCAGTTTCAGAGGGATGTCTACAGGCTCTGACTGGTTCGCCTTTTCAATCAGGTGCTAAGGAATGATTGTGTTGAATGCTGTGGTGAACTTTTCACTGAAGACCATTTGAACGCACGTGTCCATTTTGTCCTTGGCCAGATGGAGGGTGGTGGCGATTGGGTTATCTGTTGAGCTCGTGGAACTTGGATACAGATTTTTGTACTGATTATATTCCGTCATTTTATGTTCTATACATTCTGGTTACACACATGCTTTTTTTTTAAATTTCTCTTAGAGATCATGTTTTCAGCCTTGT